CTTCTATTTTAAGTAAGAGTCACGTACGGCAAATGTGTAAGCACTTCTCATATATAAAAGCTTCAAAAACATCTCCGGTACAAGTAGTATTACAACACACTTCAGTGAATAGTCCCCATCGGTACGAACAGATCAAAGAGGTCATACAATGAACTGTTTTCTTTTCACACTATTCATTATTGCCGCACCGGTACGTGAGAAAAACCTTCATATATACGCTCAAACATACAAAAAAAAAAACTTAAACCAAGACAAACTGACGAAAATGCGTTGACACAAAAAAAAAAGAAATATACAACTTGAATGCATTTTTGTATTTTAGTGGCCAATCTAATTTGATTCTCTATTTTCTTCCAAAGCTCGCGACGACGGCATCTTATGGCTCGGCTTCTTACGGCTCGGGTTCCTATGGCTCGGCTTCCAGCGGCGGTAGTGGCGCTTCCTACTTATCATCTGCTTCATCTAATGGTTTGGACGAATTAGTGCAGGCTGCTGCCGGTGGCGCTCAACAGGCGGGCGGTTCCATCACACCTGCCAATGCTGAAATTCCAACCTCACCTGCGGATGTGTCGCGCCTCAGCCAGGTGCAAGCTCAATTGAATGCACTCAACTCTAACGCCGTCTATCGCAATTTGAAGAACTCCGATGCCATTGCAGAATCGCTGGCCCAGTCTAGCTTGGCTTCGAACATTCGTCAGGGTAACATCAACATTGTTGCACCCAATGTGGTCGATCAGGGTGTTTACCGTTCACTGTTGGTGCCATCTGGCCAAAACAATCACCAAGTGATCGCAACACAGCCATTGCCACCAATCATTGTCAATCAGCCAGAGCAGCCACCTACCCATATTGGTGGTGGACCAGCGGCCGTTGTGAAAGCTGCTCCAGTCATCTACAAAATCAAACCATCTGTGATCTATCAACAAGAAGTGATCAACAAGGTGCCAACTCCACTTAGCTTGAACCCAGTTTACGTGAAAGTATACAAACCAGGCAAGAAGGTTGATGCTCCACTTGTACCCGGTGTGCAGCAAACTTATCAGGCACCTTCCTATGGTGGCGCATCATATGAGCCTGCGTCCGCACCATCTTACGGTGCTGCACCTGCCCAATCCTATGGTCCAGCCCCGGCCGCGTCCTATAATGTAGCTCCGGCTCCAACCTACAACGCCGCTTCTTCTTATGGCTCTGAAGCAACTTATAGCTCCGCTCCTGCTCCATCATACAGCTCTGCTTCTGCGCCAGCACCAGGCTATTAAATGTAGCAGTCAGTAGGCAAACTTAGCCAAATTAACTTAGTATTTTCGTTTTTTCAGTTAAAACTTTTTTACGTTTTATATGTCCTATTCGACAAGAAAAAATAAAAACCCAATTCTCTCACAAGCACTGTTTATTTATTATGGTGATTAAATTTTAGCGTGAATCAATCTGTATAAGGAAGCTCTGCAAAAATTGTATAACGGTTTAAAATACTTTGAGCTGTCTTGTTTATAATAAAAAAAAAATATGGATTCAAAGTTTATGACATTACAATTTTATGACTGTTTTAACGCTTGTGAATCTTCAAGTGCCTACATAATCGAGTTTCGTTTTTGTCGTTGAGGGGACACACCCGAATAACAGTAAAAAAAAATAAACAATAACTAATACTCATCGATTTTCATTTTTACCGACTGACAAAAGAAAACTCAACTCGGTAAAAGATTTATTTTTAGCAACATGAGCAACCTTAGTAATACTAGGTGCTTAAAATTTGCTTGAACCTGCAGCACGTAAGCGGCATACTTGATGTGCGCTTATAAATAGTTGTCGAAAAAAATCAAAATTATTAGCCACCTTCTCCGTACAAAATAAAGACATGCA